AAATGAACAGTAAAAGTTAATTTACCATGTTTGGTTTAAGAAATGAATTGGTTTGCTCAGAAGTTATTTTCCGTTGATATAGTAACTTTTGTGATGTAAATACGATGATACTGTTTGTTTCTTTAGCTTCCAGGATGAATTAGAGATCAATCCCATGAACCTCTTTTATGGAATGGGCCGGAAAGTAGTTCTTTTGCTGCGAATTGTGTGAGATTAAGTGGTAGTTCAATCCACACTTAGATGATGGGGGGAATTTGTTCAAGAAAGCGAAACCAACCGGTCATCGAAGATGGCGTTTGCAGAGCTGTGTCTGGAAGATACGGTAAAAGTAGCAGTTCAAAATGGTTGACCAATTCATCTTTTCGACCCACTGTAGAGCAGCCTCCAGGAGGAACAGGGACTTGCCCATCTCTCTTGGAATTATGCATTTATAAAATATGCCAGGTACTTGCTTTCTATGGCTTGTAAGCTTGAACTTGTGTGTTGTGGGAGGAGATTATATGTGTAGTAATTTTCAGGTTAGTGATTTGTATTTGCATATCCGTTACAGAACATTGACAAATATAGCTCGTTTTCGAAGCTGCCAAGGGATGTTAGTCAACAAATCTTCAACGAATTGGTCTGTTCCAATTCGCTTACTGATGTTTCTCTTGGAGCTTTTAGAGATTGCGCCCTCGAGGTAATGTGCTAGTGGATGGTTGAAATTCGGAAGTTTGGAAGGCTTTGTCATTTATTAGACATTCTTCTTTTGTGATTGCAGGATATTCTTTTGGGGGAATACCCTGATGTGAAAGATAGTTGGATGGGTGTCATCTCTTCACAAGGTTCATCGTTACTTTCAGTTGATCTTTCTGGTTCAGAGGTGACAGATTCTGGGTTGGCTCTTCTGAAAGGTTGCTCAAACCTTCAAGCGTTAACTTATAATTACTGTGACCATGTTTCAGAACAGGGACTTAAACACATAAGTGGTAATATCTATGTCTTTTACTTCTTGTATTTTTTCTATTTTTCCAATTTAAGCATTTTTCAGTTATCTTGTTTAATTTGTCCTAACTTTTCACTTAATGATACTGTTTATTGCTGGAGATGATAGTTAATTTAATTTGATCCTTTCCTTACTAATTTCACTCAGTCTTTTTTATCGGTTAAACTTTTCATGTTGGCTTTTCTGTCGAGTAATGTTTATGCTTATTCTGACCTTGTTCTGTAGGTCTTTCAAACTTGACATCCTTGAGTTTTAAAAGGAGCGATGCAATAAGTGCTGAAGGGATGCGTGCTTTCTCTGGCTTACTTAACTTGGAAAAGTTGGACCTGGAGAGGTGTTCAGCCATTCATGGTGGATTTGTTCATCTTAAAGGTTTGTCCTGCCTAAAGTAAAAAATGAATTATGACCATTTTAACTAAATGGAACTTCTTGAGGCCATGAGAATTAGGAGTAGAGAAAACTAATTGAGGCCATGAGCTCTGTTGCATTGTAACGAATTTACAATTTGAGTGTTTGGTGAAAGATCTTACTATATGAAATTATTTATTCATCGGGGGTAATAAATTGTAATTGTATGCTTGCAGGTTTGAAGAAGCTGAAGTCTCTTAATGTAAGATGTTGTAGATGCATCACAGATTCAGATTTGAAGGCCATCTCAGGTATTTTTTTTAAATGTTAGATGAATTTTTGTAGTGGTATCATTATTTTTTTCTGTCCTTAATTGCACAATAACTATTTAATCAACTCATGTTGATCTTGTTTTTGTATTTCTCAGGACTTATTGACCTGAATGAGTTGCAGCTATCCAACTGTAACATTACTGATTCTGGCATTTCTTATTTGAAAGGTATAATATTGTCCCTAGTTTCTGTAGTGATGCACCAAAAAATTCTGCTTTTGCTCTACTTAATTTGTGTTTGTGTAGGATGCACGCATGCACGCTCACACACACACATCCAACAAAGACCTCATATTGCTTGTTTGTCAGTACCTTTTAGTTTTAGCGCATAGTTGCTTGTTTATCAGTACTTTTTAATGCAAGTTGCTTCATACCCTTGTGTATGGCAGGCTTGCACAAGCTTAGAATGCTGAATTTAGAAGGATGCAATGTTACTGCCTCCTGTCTGCAGTCCATTTCAGGTTTGCTTTCTTCTCTGTTTTCTAATGATTCCATTAATATACTGATAATTATTCTTAAGACTGCTACAACTTCTTAACAAAATATCCACTTTAATATGTCTAAAAGAAATGTGTCCAACTGTGGGTATAACTATTACTTTATTTTTATTCGGTTAGTTTAGGGGATGAAGATTGTGACATGCATCCTATGCATTCTTAAAATTAATTGTTTCTGGTGCAGCTCTTGTTGCCCTGGCGTATTTAAATCTCAACAGATGCAGTCTATCTGATCAAGGATGCGATAAGTTTTCGGGTGAGTGACAATATTTGGCTCCACATGGATCTGGCTATTTGTTTAGCAGGTTTGCTCAGTGGGCTGAGTAGCTGGTAATCTTGACTTTTCCGCACTAACCATATTTCTTTGACAGATTTCGCCCGTTTTTTATATTTTTATGCGGCTGAATAGTTCATAATCTTGACTTTTCCACGCTATGTTTCTACAGGGCTTACAAACTTGAAGGTCTTGAGCTTGGCATTCAACGAGATCACAGATGCATGTTTGATGTATCTAAAAGGTCTCTCTCTCTCCACGCACACACACACAACTATTCTGTATTTAAGTTTTTTTCTTTTGTTCATACATTTATTTCCATGATTGCTTCTATCAGGTTTAACAAGTTTGGAGAGCTTGAACCTGGACTCCTGCAAGATAGGTGACGAGGGGCTTGCTAATTTGGCAGGTTCTATTCTAGTTCTACCATCCTTCATTTTGGATAACAGTGTTATAGTTTGCATGGTCTGGGCCTTTTCCAATAGTTTAAATTGGTTTGGAAATGGGACATGCTTCGTTTGTTTGCTAGAAATGCAAGAGATTGAAAGACATGGCCACCTATCTGATTTTATCGTGTTGTTTCTATATTAAGGGCTGACACTCTTGAAGAACTTGGAGCTATCTGATACTGAAGTTGGAAGCAACGGGCTTCGTCATCTCTCAGGTGATGATTGCATTGCATCAGACTATTGCATGGTTATGATCTGAATGTTTTCCGAGTTCAGTGTGAGGCTGTAGGCTATACATTATGCTGAAGCTTTGAATTTACTACCTTGTTAGTTTGTGGTTCAAATTCTTTGAAGGTCTCATTAGTGTTCAAAGTTAAACTGCACCTCATAATTTTTCTGCTAAGCAGTTTGTATTATTTGGTGCATGTTCATCTTTTTGAAAGCATTTCTTTTTAAGCATTAATTTGGGTGGCTGTTATCACTTTCAGGTTTGAAAAATCTCGAAAGTTTGAACTTGTCGTTCACCCTAGTAACTGACAGTGGCTTGAAAAGGTTATCTGGATTGACATCTCTCAAATCACTTAATCTGGATGCTCGGCAAATTTCTGATGCTGGACTTGCAGCTATTACAAGTAAGGATTTTTGTGTATTTTTAAGCTGTAGAGGGAAAATATTGGCTATTTGTGTAGAAAACCTTGTGATCGACGCATTGATTTCCACTGAAATTAATCATGTTCTTGAATTCTTCTAATCATAACTATATAGACATATTGATCATATATTAACAATCAAAATGTTTTAGCTTCGTTCACTTCCCCCTAAGTTTGGTTGAAGATCAAAGCTTTTTGTCCCAGTCAAAGAATTTATGCCTTGCTGGTGCAGGTCTTACAGGATTGACACAGCTGGACCTATTTGGTGCTCGCATTTCAGATTCTGGAGCAAACCATTTAAAATGTATGCTATAAGATTCACAGTATAAATCTTCATTTAATTCGTAACATACTTTCCAATGATGAGATGGACTGCAGAATAGAACGGGGGAATTTGATTTTACATTTGAGCTTCCGCAACTGAGCATAATCTTCTCATTTTAAAGTCATACTTCTGATGCTTTACTTTCATGGTGAAATCAGACTTCAAGAACCTTCAATCTCTTGAAATATGCGGTGGAGGATTGACTGACGCTGGTGTGAAGAATATCAAAGATCTTGTCTGTCTGACATGGCTAAATATATCACAGAACTGCAACCTGACCAATAAATCTTTGGAATTGATTTCTGGTACTTAACTCTTCTATTCTCTTATTTTGTCCTAGAGCAGTTGCTGCATTGCTTCAGTGATCTTTTGTTGCAACTCGCCGTTTATGATTGAACGTAACATTCTAATTTGATCATACAACTTCTCATGTTTCGTTTTCCTCTGAAAATGTAGGATTGACTGCATTGGTGTCGCTGAACGTTTCAAATTCTCGCATCACCAATGAAGGATTGCAGCACTTGAAGCCTCTAAAGAATTTGCGCTCGCTGACCTTGGAGTCATGCAAGGTGACTGCTTCGGAAATCAGGAAGCTCCAGTTTGATGCCCTGCCTAATCTCGTCAGCTTTCGGCCCGAATAGATCGGAAGCACTGTAAGATACTCCATGTAAATAGGCTGCCATCTGCCCTTGGATAGCTTTGTGTACAGATTAATAACTCCATATGGATAAAGGTAAAAGGTGCCAAAATTTGTGGATGGAAAAACCAGACTCTATGATAAATGTATAGATGGCCTTTATCTGGATAATATGGATATTTGCAAAGCTTCCAAATGTATATATACAAATATATTTAAGTTAATGAAAAACATTTGCCGCAATGTGTGGCTGAGTTTAATTATCTTTGATCTTGAAGTGAATTTTGATGAAAATTTTGTTTGGCAAGGGATGAATTTTGCAGAATTTTACAAAAACGATCGAGAATCATGAGTTATAGCTTACAATTTTTTCTAAAAAAAAATGTGATTTTTGAGTACTTGTACTGATCTTCTACGTACTTAAAGAAAAGTAAGATTATTGAATTTTCACAAGATCTTCAACCTGCGTAATAAATAAAGAATTATAAGCATAACAAAATAAAGGAAGAAAAATAGGTGATGTTTGTAATAGTAAACTACTGATGAGTTAACATGAACCTCATTATTCCAGTACAAATTTTCCCCCTAATACACACTACATTTATAAAATTAATGTTAAATTACACCCCAAAATAACATGGATTTCACGCTAAAGAAAATCAAGAACATGCCGTCGTCGACGCTTCAATTACTAGTACAAATATTCGGACAGAAACTGCAAAACGAAGCGGATGATTGCAGAAACCGACTAAAATGAAGATCTGCAACTTCACCTCCGACCCTCCCTACGATCGAAAGAGAATGAAAAGAATTTGTTTTCTGAACAATCTACTCACAACAGAATTTGAATCCACAAACTATCCACTGTGTATAAAACTAATAGGTCAAAAGCTAAAAGCTGAATGTAGTTTACAGGGCAGTAGCAAGGAAACCTGCAAAAGAGACGAGCCACTTGTGAATTAATCTAAGATGAATTTGTACACCAAGTTTTAAGCGTGACACGAAAAGCAAACGAAAGAAAAAAGAACGGATTAAAGATGTATAAAATCAGATCATGCCTACCTCAATGTGCATGATTATATGATCCAATCCATGATAATATGGTAGTGAAAGTGTCTAATCCAGTGCTACATTTTCAAGAGCCAGAACTTGACGCCGTGAGCTCAAGCGTGCTCCAAGGCAGAATAAATTCTGGAAACTCGTCTTCGTAGTAATGGCTCTAACCGGAATGATGGAATTCCAGTCTGCCACTTTTTCGCTTCGTGCATCTCGTTCCATGCTTGTACGATCTCGTCAATTTTGAACCCCAGACCTGTAATAACAGAAAACGAGCTATTTAAATGTCTAAGTTACTTAAGGAAATGGCAGTGGATGATTAGTTTCGGAGTGCAAAAGTTTGAATTGTGTCACCTTCCAATGCAGTTATCATTTGAAGAGTGATTTTTGAGCAAGACTGCTATATCTGTAGGTGAAGCCCCGGCAAGTCCAAATTTTTCAACTGCAACTTCCAAACATTCTTTCCATACGGGTAGCCCTACTTTGAATTCCACAATAGATCGCTCGTACAGCATGGTGCCCCATAGGAGATTTATCTGACATCTCATGCTTGTAGCCTGGTCCGCAGCCTCATTTGCTGATACGTCTTTGAAAATTCCGTTCAAACCCATTTGCTGCACCTGAGTTTTAACACTACTTGGACCGGAAAGTTCTCTCAGGCGTTGCTCTTCCAATTCCTCGAACAGCTGCATGCCTTTTTCCATATTGTCTTCAGCGTAGTTATAAAGTCGCAGAACCTCAGTGGAAGGCCACGTCTCCAGATCAACATTGCTGCTAATTGCATAATACCAAGAAAGCTTTGCCTGTTCAAACTGCTGCTGCCCGAGGGCCAGATAGCCTTCATAAAAGTCCGGTTTGATCTGCAGCGCTTCTTTGTATCTCCTTCCTGCTTCTATGTATTCCTTCTGTGCCCAATCATATGCACTTTTGATATTTGAAATAATAGATTCTTTCGAAGAATCTTCGGTGAAATACACCTTCTTTCCCGCCCTGGCCATGCGAACATTTCCCCAGTTGAACAGCGCCAAAGCTCCCATTTCTTGGAACTTCTCTCCTGCTATGTCAAACAGGTCTTGCGCTTCTTCACTCGTGACTGTCTCCTCCATTGCCTCGGAATAAAGCTTCACCCCGAGTTCATGAAGATCCAAGTATGCATCAGATTCAATCCCAGCATAGTTCTTGAACAGCTGAGCAAAATTGATTATCCAATCCTCAATGCAAGGTGGACTCTTCGTATCCTTGTGTTTTACCACACTACCATTCTCAGCTACACTATGTTGCTTGTGCGGTTCGATTTCCAGTTTCTCGAAGAAGGGATCCTGCTCGGGGTTAACTTCCACTATGTAAAGCCTGACAGACCCTTCCGATTCTGCTGATCCTTCAGCCCATCGCAACTCTTCATTGGAAGTGATTGTGACCAAATCACCTTCTTGGTCTCTATATTTGATGAGAACTGCTCTTGAGCTAGGAAACCGATCATGCACAACCTCTCTCAGCTGTAGGAGGGTGCAATTTAGCGGCAACTCAGCCCACCTTATGTCCTCTCCAAATACCAATTTCACACTTCTTTTAGGCACTTCTTCATTTGAACTGCTGATCGCCTCCTCGACAACTACCTTGACCTCTGCCTTCTTCTCCTCAGCTATTTCCACCGCCTTCTTGTCTTCAGTTATTTCCACAGACTTCTCTTCCTCAGCTACATCCACAGCCTTCTTTTCCTCAATCTTGTCCTCAGCCTTCTCCTCAATGTTTTCCTCGGCCTTCTTCTCATTATCTTTGTTGCCCTTCTTCTTCTTCCGACTCTTCAACTTCATTATTTTCCCTGGCTGCGAAGCATGAGTTGGTTCAACATAATCTGCAGGCAACTCAATTACCGTGTCATTCACCCTCAACCCCTTCTCCTCAAGTACAATTTTCACTCGTTCTGCGACCTCCATTGCCATGACATTTTTTGGCTCCATGTTCAAAACGGCACCAACATCTCTCAAAGCCAAATCCAACCTATTCAAAGCCTCGTAACACTTTGCTCTCTTCAACAGTGCCTTACTGTACTTAGGTGTGACTTCAAGCGCCAAATTACATTCATTGATAGCCCTCGGGTACTCACTCAGCCCCATCTGCATATAGCACGCTGCCATGTTGCTCCTAAGATAGGATACATCGATGTGATTCCTCGGAAGCAATTTGAGGGCTTTTTCATATTTCAACAAAGCTCCTTCAAGATCCCTCTTCTGAAACAACTTGTTCCCCTCGTCCTTCAGTTCTTGAGACATCGAAATGAAAACTTCTGTGTCCTTATCATAGGCTTTTGGGCTAGTATCCCCGATTTTGCTTTGATTCGAACTATCACCTGAATATTCTCCTGCGTTTTTCTTCTTTTTTCCACTTTGCTTCCCCATCATAAACTCAACAACTCATACAAGAGCTACAAATAAAACTAAAACGTAATCACACTACAGACCCGAATGCTCAAAACACAGTAGCTGATCCAATTAAGTAAACAGGGAAACCAACAACTTATTGAAACCACTTTCTATTATATTTCCCCAACTTTCCCGAGAAACAAACCAGATTTTCCAAAACCAATCTAAGCCCAAAACACAATTCAACACAAAACAGATCCTCACAATTCAATCAAGTAACAATACAACAATTCAGAAATAGACACAGCAGCATACCAGAAGCAAAAAAAAGCACTTTTCCCAGGAGCCAATTCCGCCCAAGAAAACCTCCTTTTCAAAATCTGAAGCTACTACCTTGAAAGCTCAACTGGGTTTTCTTTTCTCAACCATAAGAATCACAAATTCATCAACTTTTTTCCCTCCAAATCAGGATTTGTCAGTGCCTATCAAATTATATACAAATCCCAATTGTGAGAGAAGCAGCCGTCCCCCAATTCAGCTCAAAAAACAAGCTTTGAGAAAAACCAAGATTTTGGGGAGAAAGAAACTTATCTGGGAAATGAATTGTCCGTGAAAAAGCTCCGGATTTTCCAGGAAAATCTCCGCCGAGAAAATGAGAGAATTTTCGGGGCGAGAAGGGAAAAAGAAAACCAACCAATGTCCGTTGGCTCCTTTCGTAGGTGGGAATACAAGATTTTGTTGTTCTTCACTGCTTTACGTAAACGCCACAAAAGCAAAGAGATGAAGAATCTGATAACTTGTAATTTTCCTTTTTTTTTTTTTTGTTATTTCACAAAAATATAATACTGAAATTACAAATAAAATAAAATAAACTAAAATTTTGAACACGGTGGGTCCCATGTTTATGTGATATCCAAGTTTCTTGGGGCTGCCGTTCGATCAGCTATTGCCAGAGCCATTTGAGCTGCTTGGATTTGCAGTTGCCTCTTCTTCTGGTTGCTTAAAATGCTATAAAATATAAAATAAAATAAAAAGCAAAAATACGGAGAGTGGAGGGGTAAAATAGTCATTTAGGAAGAGAAAAAGAATTCAATTGGAATAAGTGGACAACCTCAACTTTTTGCCAACGAGTGTTGGCCACGTGGCCCTAAGCATGTGAAGAAAAGTAACGAACTATCAACTATGGCGGTACAACTTCAACTGCCAAAATCACAAAAGCAGAACACGGTTGCATACTTGACAAGACAAGGAGTAGTGGCCTGTACGGGAAACAGCCTGGTTGGGAAGCCTCTAAAAGTAAAGTACGCTTCTAGACTTTTACGATGCGATCCCACGTGTGAGAAGAATATTTTTCCCCACAAAACGTAATCGTACATAATAGTATTACAAATTAATCACGTCTTGTTAGATTTAGTCACATGATATATATAAGATATTCTGTACAGATTAAAATAAATACGGTGCAAACCTAAAACGTCTAACACCACACTTTTAGATTGTTGTGATGTGTTAGTGCATGAGAATAACTTTTTCCTCTACCAAAACGTCTTAGTGTCTGCACTGCAATCCAATCACGCGCTACTGTTATTATAACATTCTTGAGATAGATAAATTGATCTCTTGAATGCTAGTCATGTATTCAAAGTTAATCACACAACATTAAAATGCAATATATGATTGACGTGGAATACAATATTTTGTAACAATTAACACCACATTTTATAGTGAAACCCATATATTTAAAGTTTAAAATATAATTAATTTGGGATTGCCGCCGCATTATACTTTCGATATTGCCATATTGGTAAGCTTCCTTCGCATGCGTGACATGTACTCTAAGCCACCGCCCACCGACCACCGACCACCGCCCACCGCCGGCCGGCCGCCTGAATGTTTGTTTGTTTGTTTGCTTACAATATTTGTGGTGGAGGGCCTTTTGCCTGTGTTTTGTTTATGTTTTGCTGTAAAGCCAGGTCAATCGGTCCGACCAATAAAAAAAACAAAGTCAATGGATAATTCCAAAGTTCTCCAGAACGTAACTAATACACAGTAACTGTAATTTTTTACGTGATGGGTGGCACCTGACTGGCCCAATTGAAGCCCAACCCCACCAACTTGGAGGTTGCAAATTCAAGCCCAACCCAATCCAATCTTCCAAAATAAAAGATTGGGCTTTGCAACCCAACAACAATTTCGTACATAAAAAACGCCACGTCGACTCGGTCACGTGAGCACTACCACGTCTGACGCGGCGTCCGCTGATTGGCGGGGGAGCGTGGATGTGCCAAACAACCAACAGTAGTGTTTTGGGTGCATCACTTCTTCTTCGTCTTCGTCTTCTTCGTCGAGACGTAGCAGCAGCAGAAGGTTTCAACACCTCCTCCTCCTCCTATCTGACTCTGCTTCTCTCTGGCTTTTGGGACCTCTTATTTTTCTCTGATATTCATACAAATATGAAGGTGTTTGTGTTTTTTGTTCAAGTTTTGTACCTTCTCAGCCACTTCGTCTCGGCCGATCAGATCTTCCTGGATCACCTAGGTAAATTACCCTCTTCTTAAATCCATCCATGTCCCTCTCAAATTTTCGTAATTTCAGTATTTCTGCTGAGTTTTGTAAAACCCATCTGTTGTTCATTGCTGTTTTTCTCTATTTGACTACAAAATCATGTCTTGCGTGCCAAATTTTGTAAATTTCTCAACTATATATATATATATATGTATGTATGTGATGTGTATATATTTATGGTTTTAGTGTTCTATTAATTATTGTCAATCAGCTTCCGAGCTCAAAAGTATTGGCGGAATTTTCAGTTAGTTGGTAATTTACAGCTTCTAGCTTAATTAGTTTGAAAGCACTTGAGGGTTCGTAAATGTTTAGCCTTTAGACTGAAGGGCCAAATTTTGATGTAGGCTACTTTCGTGATCAGTTGGCTGGATAGCAATAGTTAGCATTTCAACTCGGTGGATAGAAGTTTGTTGGTTTAATTCGATATATTGTACTGCAAATTTAAGTTCATTTTGATTCTTTATCGTTTGATGAGCAGGTGGTGCATTTCGTCGCAGCTCTCGTGAACCAAAATACAGGATTGAATTCCATCCTGAAGACTCACCTTTTCATCCTGTAAGCTAATACTGTATTTTTTATCTATCCATTGTTTTTACTTGTATTTGTTGTTTGTTCCCTTGACATATATAAAGATTTGATGCCAGGTATAGATTTTTAAGAAGTATATTTCTTGCCTTCTACTTTGATTTGTAAGTTTATCATCTCCAATTGATTGTGAAAATGCTCGATTTATTCATGTGTCGATTCAATTCTTCAACAGTTCTCCATCCCAAAATTGCACACCTTATGTAGTTTCTTTGGTTTTCCTTTAGAATAAGCAATGCATTAAACATTTGCTGCTCGTCAAACACTGCCTTGTATCATATAATGGACTTAGACGAATGATTCTGTCACTTATTTGTTCCACATTATGGATAAATTTGTGTACTTCACTGATTTGTCTCTGAATTTTTCACTTGTCACAAATACGTAGTATACTTGTTGATCTAATGATTGGGTACAAACATTGCAGGATGATGGCCAGGAGTCTGTGGTTATGCCAAATAACAATGGACAAAATTTTATATGTTACTTGCCTAAGGTAGAGGAAGCCAAGAGCGGCAAGCAAGTTCTCCAGCAGAATATTAGCAGCATGATTGTGGAAACTGAGAAACGAATTAAAATGAAGACACCGGATGAGCTGCTTGAAGTGCTGAAGGACCAATGCTTTGTCAGAGTAAGATCCATGACATTAAAACTCTCTTTATCATGGTTAGTTAACTCATAAAACTACAATAATACATGTTTACAGTGCCCCCATTAGTTGATGATGCATGTACTGTGAACTACGCTAACATAACCAACTCCTTTATGCAGCACGAGGGTTGGTGGTCATATGAATTTTGCTATCAGAAGAGATTACGACAAATTCATGTGGAAGATGAAAAGGTATTGTGTTATGTGCTCTCAAGTGCTCGCTTTTAAATGTCCTATTCTTCTATTGTTAGTTCTTATTTCTTTTGTGTGCTTGGTAATATGTTATTATAACTGCATACAATGAGAGGAAGTGGGATAATATACACGAAGTGTAAATAAGTTCCACATGTATCTAGGTGATCTTGGCCTTTGATGTAGTGTTGGCACACAGTATTGGATGCATTCCCACAAGTGATTAACTACTAAAGTTTTAGAGTTGGATGATCATGCCTGTTCGGTGTATTGTGGTTCCCCCATCCTTGTAGTGGTTACAGTGGTATATTTAGTAGCTGTGCTACAAGAGCAGAGTCATTGTTCCATTTGTTACGTTCTTGACCTTTTTCTTTTCCAATTCATTAGTGTTATTATCATCATCTTTTCAGATATTTCATTTCTTATTGGAACGCTTTCAGAAAATTTAAAACCTCATAATAATGCTCGTGGATTGGCTACTTTCTTCTCTTATTACAGGTGGTTCAGGAATTTGTTTTGGGTGAATATGATGCAGAGGCCACTGCTGCGGTCAACCAGAACCTCTCTGACATATCTACACTCAAAGATCCACGCTCAAAAGATGCATACCAAAGGTATGGGATTTGGCGTTCATAAAATGTGTAGGACAAGTTTGAGGGAAATATTTCTGCAGATAAGATAGAAGAGATTGACTACAATTTATGAAATTGTACGACTCTTGTAGGTACCATGCTCATCAATATACAAATGGGACTACTTGTGATCTTACAGACCTGCAACGAGAGACTGAAGTATGAAGTTATTATATTTCTGTGGTTTTAAATTTCCTTTCGCTTCTCTCCTTCTGCCTTCCGGTCCTTACTTCATACGCATTTTGCAGGTGAGATTTGTGTGCGCAGAGGGCAAAGCTATGATTAATTCAATTACAGAGGTATCCACATGCAAGTATGCAGTTACAATCCAATGCCCCAAACTTTGCAAGCACCCGTGAGTCTCTATCCCTCCCTCCCCCACTCCAATACGTTTTGTGCTTGCGTTTTCTTGCGACGTATGTTACTACTAGCTCCTCTAATGACTAAGCTATTTTCCCAAACAGAGCATTCCAATCAGAGAGACCAGTATGGCAGACAATTGATTGTAACGTGCTTCCCAAGGATTACAAGGAAACCAGAGTAGAGGAAGAATCTAATACGAAGCAGAAAGTTACGGTTGCAGACGCAGATAGTGAAGATCCCTCTAATGAGGTTTCGGATGAGTAACATGTGCATTGATTCACTTAATCTTTGTGAATAGCAGTGATAGTCAACTTTATGTACTCTTGTATCTTCCGATTACACTTTTCACAAGATAGGAACATAATCATCGACATTCTTAATACATTTCCTTGTTAAGGTTGTCGTCCCTTTACCTCTGTTTACTCCGGCGGACTTGTGTCATATAGTGGTTAAAACTGATGTGTATGTTACTCCAAAATCGTTCATTATCGAACTAATCTCATCATAGTCGATTTCAAAATAATTTCCGCTGCCCTACAATCGTAATATGAAGATTGAATTGCTTTCTTTCTTAACTTCGTTGTTCAAGAAATGTTAGACAAAAACATGTAAATTGCATTGACGACGATTGGATTGTAAACAAAACGAGCTGTTTATATTAATGCCAAAAACAGTAAGAGATGCCGTGAGGATAAACGACAGAGAGAGCAACATTGATCGTCTGGAATGCCAATGGTAACTGTGAAGGCAACTGCAATGCAATCACCATTCACCAAACCTAAGTCGATCACCTACTTTGTTTTCATATATACAATCACACACAATGATTTCCTTTGCGTTATTCTTAGAGTTGGGATCTTGTCATTGGGACGGCGACGCTCTTTCACTCTCTGCCCGTCGAGTCCAGCAGAGCCAAATACTCGCTTATGGCCACACCTTCTTCGGTAACTTCAAGGTCATAGTCCGAGAATGCATCTCCTTGTGCCAGTTCTCCAGCGAGTGCATCTTCCATTTCTGCATCACGTTCTTCACTAGTAGCTGATGGACCTCCAGCTTCGCCGTTTTGATCAGCATTATCTAGCCTTGAAACAAGAGAATTCACAATATCATTAGCAGCATCAGCAGGGATATTGTTGTCAGCAGCAGCTGTGGGGATCGCCTGAGACTGGTTGTTGGCAGCATTCATGGGGTCTGTTGCATTTCCTGTGAGCAACTGACGCAATGCTTGCTCCAGTGTTGCCCCAGCACCAGCAGTCTGAAAAGCTTCAATCACTGCATACAAAGGTAAACATTAGAGCCTAGCTAGGTGCCTTATAAATTTGTTACTTCTGAACCACGTTCTTGCTATTATAAATTGAGCATTAGTTTCTGATATCTATAATGTATATTCTTAGATTTGATTGGTATTTTGCTAACAAGTACCTCTTGATCTTTCAAACCCCATGCCTACAAGTGATTCAATTGAAGAATCAATTGCTTGGCGCTGTCGTTTCCTTTGCTTTGATTCAATGTATACCTACAGGTCGGACAAAGTTAGTAATGTTAAGGAGTCTAAATAAATTTCAGTTAAATCTTTTTATAGAGAACGCAATGGACCTGTATGGAAGAATTAACTTCTGGATTTGTCAAATCATCCAATGCCTTCTCAGCATCATTCTCGTTTCTTCTAAGTGATTCAGCAGCAAGCTCCTTCTCAAAACTGCAAATTCAAGCAACTTTTATAATGACTGAACACGGACCCCAGAATTTGTATGCAAGATTGAACTTTAAATTGAAAACTGATGAACAAGTCTTGGCTTGCTTACCCAATGGAGACCAATTGGTTCAATTTCTCGATATCCACAGCTTTCTTCAATGGCGTTGTCCCATACTTCTTTTGCTCCCTGCCAATTTCTTGGTCTAAGTAACACTACAAACAGAGTACTAGAAAAAAAAAAAAAAATCTATTTCATAAGACACTCACATAATTTCATTTCGTCGCTGAATATCTTCTTCCCGTTTTTGGGCTCTCTTTGTCTTCTGCTCAACAAGAAAATCAACAGCACTAGATACATCTTGATTGCTCATCCGCAATGCCCTTTTAGAATCTCGTTCTTTAAATCCCATGCTCATAACAAGTGATAGAGCTTCATCTGGCACTTGTAGCTGCAATCAACAATCGAAAATGTACTCAAGTTGAAGTTGCAATCTAGAGATGGTAGGTTACTAGGGTTCTGTTAAAACTACTAGAATCACCAAGAAAAGTGAATACAAGCATATGAATTTTGTGGAGGTTAAAATAATTTCTGTTCTTTTTTCAAATTCAATCATTTGGAATATGTAATGTGAAACATGGTGGTAGTTCAGAAATCGATTGCAAATTTCAGTGCAACTAATGAATGCAGAATTCCACAAGAAGTCAACTAACCTTGGTGAATTTTTCTTGTGCAGAAGTCAGCACCTTCCTTGATTTATCGTACTGGCCACTATGATACGCAACCACCCCTTCCAGTAGCTCCAGTCTCAAATATCTATGACCAGAAAATGAAAAAGTGATTAGACCAAAATTCTCCCAAGCAAGGTACATTTAGGTAAAATACAGGTAGCAGTAAAATACTTACAGTGCAAGCTCTGGATAGCGACCTCCCTGAAGGAGTCTGACACGAGAAGAGTCCCTTCCATGAGCTCTCTCAATACCTTTTCTGGCTTTTTCAAGGCGAACTCCTGCCACTGCAAGCCAGCTGATATCTCGGAGCATGAAATAGCACCAAACCATATCGATTTGGAGTATAGGAGGATTGTCAACAAGCTGAAAGCAAGCATGGAGTCAAACAGACATAGTAGTATATCTAAGGAGGCACAAATTTTGATATAGTTTAACGGTCAAAGTTACAGGGAGGGCAAGTCACAATAATATGGCTCAAAGTGATAAAAATCTTTCAGTATGGCTCACTCACCTCAATAACCTTCGGGTCACAAAGAGAGAAAGCCTCCTACAAGAATGAAAGAAGCACACATGGGTTAAGCAACACGTTTAGGCACATAATATTTCCTGACTGAATATTTCAATTTATGATAATTTACTTCACATACAAACATGTCTGAAACTGATATAACTAGCACTGGCAAGGTGCAAGCCATAAAAAAATGTGATATTCCCTTCAAGGTCATCAAATCAAAATATTATCCCGAGTTTAAGGCAGAAACTGACCTCTCCCATGGTAAGCACTTCTAACGCGTCTTTGTAATTTTGTCTTTGAATTAGTTGCTTTGCATTCGTATGAAGCATCAGGCCCATCATAATTGCCCTGTCAAATGACAAATCTTCAAACTTAGAACGCAACTGTATACCCTTCAACTTCTCATAAAAGGAAGTAAGTGCGGACATCTAATTGCACTATGAAAAGTATTGAAACCTAACTATCTATCATACCTCTGATCAGTCTCGGATCCCAACTCTACTTTCTTTCCACTTTGATCTTCAAGAACTATATTGAAGTCTTCAATTGGCAATGATCCATCTGCATGTCTCTTGGCCAATGCAGTGGCAGCTGCCCTGTAGAGTTAATATATGTACAATCAAGTTAAAACTTAAATATAGACATAAACAAATCAATAAAACTGAACACGTTAAATGTGCATATGCCCACTGATATACATCTGAACAATTTGGGACCATTATCAATGGAAGAAAATATAGGATCACTAAGTCCACGACTTCCTTATTGGAAACAGTTCCACTCTCCCTCAACCAAGAGCTCAAGAGTATTCACTATTTTTTTAGGTCCAACTCCGCACTCTCGTGAATCAAGCTCCAAATGCTTGAATTCAGCTCCAAAATCATAGTCCCTCAATTGTGCGTAAGATAATAACATCAATCAAATTCCAATACTATTTTCTCACTCAATCCGAAATCAAAAACACGAAATACACAGTTCATGAACAACAAACACAGCAAACCATAGACATACAAACTAAAAACCCATCAAAATTGAACGGATTCTAACACCAAATTAACTCCTATAAATTACATTCTTCGCCAAAAACCAGTACTTTCATCAAAATTAAAAAAATTCAAGAGAAATACTCACTTGACTCGAGTCAATCTTCGAAAGCGTTCCTCCTCAGCCATCAACTCCTCCTTCAACGACTTACCCTCCTCCGCGCACACCCGACTGGCAAGAATCTTGGCGTTGTTTTTGATACCCACTTGGGCGAGCTTCTCATCGCCGCCGCCGTCTTTCAAGACCCTGCCGGCGCAAATCAGATTGATCGAATTGGGGTCGCAGTTTGATCGCTTTGCAACTTCGTCTCGCAACATGGGCACGGTCCAATTCTCCAATTCAACCTCCAGCACGCCCGCCCATGTCCCTGCAATCTTCAGCTTCGACGCCATGAGAGATTAAGTGAGAGAGGACTGATTGTAGTGTGGGGTATCGAGGAAGAAGACGAAGACTACGGGTTAATAACAATATATATATATATAGAGGAGAGAGAATTTCTTGGTGATCAAGGCTTAAACTTTCCACTGCGTTGCGTCGGAGCGCACGGTTTAATCTAATTCGAGTCTCATCTGTAGGAAAAAGAAAAAGCCCCTTTTTTGTTGTTAATTTGTTATTTGTTAGAGTAATGCTAGAAAAATTAAATTAGAGTAATGTTACTTTACAAATTCGACAATTTGAGTATCGATTTATAATAATTTTATTCAAACAAATTCTTTCGTACAAGTAATATTATTTAGTTATATTAAGGAAGGGAGAGAATTTTTAATCTTTGTTCGAAGCAATATGTTATGATCTTTTTTTTCTTGAAAATGAGACAATAATTTTTCTTTTAGTTAGAATAATGAAATTTTTTTCTCATGCAATCAAATTTTAATTTTTGTAGCGTGAACTACTAATAAACAATTACCAGGTGTTTAAAAAATATATTATTCATCCATTGAACAATCGTGGCATAATAAACATGTGATTACATGAGAAAATCTCCCCACAGTAAGATGGTATCATGAGTCAATGAGTCATGACTTCGTGAACAAGCAGCTTAATTCCAAATTCTAAATATAGCAAAAGTAAAGTGGCCATTATAGAAAGTCTACTTTAGAAAATGTTGCTTTCTAAAGGACCAAAAAGCAAAGGAAAGTAATCAGCAGTCCGTATACTTGGCCCAAAACAGTCACACTGCGTGCCAACATCTGACTCGTTACTAATCGAAATCCCACCACCAATGGCTGCCGGCGGCGGAGGCGGCATAGGCGCAGCCAAGAGCACCACCAAAGGCAAGGACAGAAACAAGAAACAAAACCAAACCCACAACAACAACAACAAGCCCCTCAATCAACACCACCTCGGCAACCTCGTAACCGCCGCCACGTCACTGGCCCACTCCTTCCTCTCCCAGAACGACCTCCTCCTCCTTCCCGCCCAAACCCTAACCCTAGAATCCCTCCTTTCATCCGCCTCCACCTCCCTTTCCACCCTCCTCTGCTTCCCCAACCCACCACCGCAACCACCATTACGCCCTCCGCCGACGCCGCTAGAATGCTGGTTCAGCCGCTTTCTCTCCGCCACCGCCGCCGGCGGAGACTTCGACTCCCACTGGTCCCAGACGTTCCGCATGTCTGAACACTCCTTCTCCGTCCTCCTCTCCCTGCTCTCCCCATTTCTCAAGTCCACAGTCCCTTCAATCCCGCCCAATTTCGTCCTCGCCGCCGCAATTTACCGCTTGGCCCACGGCGCGAGCTACAAGGCTGTGGGAAGGCGGTTCGGGCTCGACTCCGTGGAGGCCTGCCGCGCATTTTACGCCGTATGTAAGGCGGTGAACGATCAATTGGGGAACTTGTTCGAATTCCGGTCAGATATATCCCGGGTATCGGCGGCGTTCAGGTGGATTTCGCTGCCTAATTGCTGTGGGGTTTTAGGGTTTTCGAGATTTGGGGTTGGTGGTGAAGTGCTGGGGGCAAATGGGTCATTGTTGGTTCAGGCAGTGGTGGACTCTGAGGGGAGGTTCCTCGATGTCTCCGCCGGGTGGCCAAGCACCATGAAACCCGAATCGATTTTCCGGCAGAGTAAGCTGTATTTGGGTGTGGAGGAGTCCAGGGACTTGCTCAATGGTCCTGCTTTTGAGCTTGGGAATGGGAATTCCATTCCTCAGTACATATTGGGGGACTCTTGCTTCCCTCTATTGCCATGGCTTCTAACACCTTATGTAAGGTCGGACGAGGCGGATAGCTTCAGTTCGATGGAGAAGGCGTTCAATTTGGTGCATACTCGCGCAATGGGGTTGGTTGGCACGGCATTTGGGAGAGTTCGGTCTCGGTGGCAGCTCCTGGCTAGGCAGTGGAAGGAAGAGTGTGTGGAGTTTCTGCCTTTTGTGGTTGTTACAGGGTGTCTGCTGCATAACTTTCTGATCAAGTGTAGCGAGCCGATGCCAGATGACAATGTGAAAGGCTTAAAGGAGGAGGAGCTTCCTGTTTTCGATGGACAAGTGAACGAGAGTGGCGAGCGGATGAGGGATGTACTCGCCATGCACTTGAGCCGGGTAAGCCTCAGAAGATGAATTCTTTTGTTGCCTTGTAGTTGCTCTTCGTTGTCGATTAGCGGTGCATCTTAGGTTTTTGAGAGAATTTTTCGGATCAGTTGGAGTCTTGATCTGGTCTGCTTTCACTGCATTTATGCATGTATTTTTGTATGTAAATAGCCAATGAAACCATAAATGTCAAGGCTCCAATTTCAAGTTGTATATCATTTCGGCACTGAATGTGTTTGTTCAATCAAATTTCTTTCCATATATTCTGGTGATATTCTTATTGAGTTTATGATGCTAGTATCTTTGATGATCTGAGGATTAGATTTTGCGATTTTTCTCTTGTTTGTGATGCTAAGCATCCATGATGATCTGCAGATTGAATTTTACGATTCCTATCTTGTTTATGATGTTAAGTAGCTGTGGTGATATGCTGATTAGATTTTGTGATTCTTATATGTGTTTTAGTTGCGCAGAATTGGCACCATTTTCAGACTACTATCTATATTTAACAGAAAATATTGGTACACAAATTAACGAAGAAGATCTGAACTTATGTATTAGTTTGACATTGTAATGGTTAATATAGGGTTACAAAAATTGGTAATATCAGCCTGCTGTGACGTTTAATTCTTAAGTCACATAACCACCCAGGTTTGGTAATTACATATTTTCGACTCCACCCCTGGATTAGAGCCGTAAAACAACGTTTGGTTATGTGAGTCGAAGGTAATTCAGGTATGATCTTAGAAACTAAAGCTGTAGTTGTTCTGACCAAAAGCTTTACAGGAACAGTTTAACCAGCAAGATAGGAGTCCCCTTAAGCCTGTCTCTTGGATTTCGCCTCCCCGTCTTTGTAAAACTCGTACAAACTCATTTGCGCTTAAATCCTCGTCACCATTTGTTTCGAATACATGGAATATTATGTCAAGCACATTAGTAGAAACAGAGATGCCACGTACCTGTATAAATAAAAGTAATCAAACATTGGTGTAATAAGCTACTAAATACTAGTTAATGATCAAATAAGCTTAGCCAGCACTAACAATAACAGATCAGATGTGTACTTGGGAAGCAGCTTTCTGGAGATCAGTTTTCGTCAACACCCTGTTAACTTCTCCATAACTGAAAAGAGCCAGAGAGAAGGACTGCAAGTTCTTACGCAGCTCTGCGAAGTCTTTGAATTCCTTGTATGGGATTCTTACGTCCTTAAGACGTGTGATGTTCTCAATTTTGTCCACCCGATCAAGCAACTTGTTTATGTCACTGCTGTCAGCAGATGCAACCAAGGACACCGAAATCTTTGGCCAACATGTTTCCTTGTGCTTTGTAGTCGTAGTGAACAAACTCCAATCGCATAATCTTTCAAATTCGAAAACAGAGGAAGAAAAAGAAACAGGAAAAGGATCAGCTGACTGAAAAAATAGTATGATAAAATCACAAACCCTGAAAAAAAAATCGCATACTTCTTCGTGTAAATCACGGAAAAACTGAACAAATCTTTCAAGTTTCAGACTTCTTTTGCTGTCTTTGCCAAAGAAGTACTCGAGTAGTCCTCTGTCTTCGACAGAAACCTTGAGCCTGTGGCCTTCCATGTTCTGTTTGCTTTGAGATCGCATCAAGGCCATGACTTTATTAAACTCCTACCTATGAATGTCTCTATAAATCACAAATGTAACAAGCTTTCCATCAGCAATACATGAACGAAGGTTTCTAACTTATAGCTTGATGGCGAAGACGATAGTAATGTAAACCCACCCACTGTTGTCGAGATCAAACATTTTAAATGCAATTGTAAAACTCGGCTCAGGGATGCTGAGAAGTGTGACGAAAAAGATGAACCTGATCTTATCAAGAACGAACATGTACGTTGTTTTTAGATCTTAACAAATTTCAGCTAGACTAGAGTCATTGTAGTATCAAGATCTAATAATACTCACTCTAAGAGGACATCAGGCCATCTCCGTCAGTGTCGAAAAGCACAAAGAATTTGGAAGGAACACACTGCAGCTCGCCGGGAACCTTCTCCCCTCTCAAGGACCCCTCTCTTAACGCGGGTTGATTCTGAGGGAGGAAATACAGGAACCACCGCTCTCATCAAGTCTGTTGGCGTCATAAGCGCCTCTCCGATGGGGTTTTTAACCGATGCAAAGTACTCGAATAACTGAAAACCACAAGCACACAACACAAAACACAAACATGTAGTGTTTGCAACCACAAAAATCATCACACAAACATAATAACAGCTTCGTAAAAATCAATTTTCTAAGTGCATGATCCATACCTTCTCCAAAGGACTTTGATCTCAGAGCCGCCTTTCATACAGTGAAGAATTTCCTTCTCCTGTATGAAACTGAGACGAGATCCATCAGTGTAAAACATTAAAGAAACCTCAGAAAACACGATATACGGTTAAGTTGAAGAAAAACAATGAAACAAACAAGGTACCATCAAAGAGAGAACTGAGTTTCTTTAGGATCTTCGCCGATTGCCCATGCTGCCCCTTCTTTTGGATAATTATCAGCGTAATACACGTAGGAATTCGGATCCAGAGAAGAAGACGAATACGAAAACCTTAGGCTGGTCCCGAGAATCAGAACCCCCGAACAAATGGATCTCAGCAACAAATCAAAAGTTTTATCGGAGATCTACCTTTATGACTGCCACCATAGGCAAATATATATGCCAACCCATGAGCTGAGAGAAGAAGAAGAAGAAGAAGAAGAAGATGGTGACGGAGAGACCGAGTACAAGGGTTGCGATTGTTGAACGGAGGACGAGAGCTGAGGCGTTTTAACACCCGAAAGAAGCCGATGGATGGACCGTGAGGATTCCCTCGAAGATGCCCTAGTAAACATACCATGAATCTATGGCTTTAGGGTTATGGCTTGTGACGTATAAATGGCGAGCTGGTAGAAGTTTAGATTCGAAGTTTAGAGACGAAAAAATACAGAGAATTAGGAAAAGCGCGTCGAGATTACTAATGACGGGTGGAGACACCGAGAACATGTTCGGTGCCTAGCCCTTGTCTCCTTCGCTGGAGACTGCAAATGATGGAAATCCTATCAATAACGAAGAAGCATAGGCATCGCCGGTGAGAGAGATTCTTCTTGTCAAATTTGGAAGCAGTGGAGATTATAACGAGGAGAGGGTGAGAGGGAGAGATGATGGAAGGAAATTGGAGCGGGAAAAGTGGGTGGCTTTCTAGGGGGTTTGAATGACTCTATGTAACGGTTTTTCAAAAAGTTAGTTAATGGTTTGGGTCTATTTGTGTGTTCTCAGTGGATTTTCGACACTTAGATCGATCAGATGGGTTACAAATTCATCCGGTTAGAATTTTGCGAAAACAAAAACTAAGAATCAACAAACGTCTAGATAAAAATATAAATTGATAATATGAAAAATCTAACCAATACAAGATTATACAGTAGCTTAAATAGAGAACTAAAAGATCTTAAGTAATCTGTTCTAAAATATTCCTAAAACGTAACAGGTAACAAAATATTATTTATATACCTTGCCAAATATTGTCACGCTTGTTGTACTCATGTTATCCGAAATATCTCAAATGTGTGCCTGACGTGATACTTGATGCTTAGGTTTGAAGGTTCTCTCTTGCTTGATTTCTTGCCAATTTTGGACCACTTTATATTAATTAGTTTGTTTATTCACTTTAAACGCCTCTTATTTTGTCTCGCATTATATTTATATGCAAATCATTGGCAAAATATTGATGAAAATACTAATTACAAAGTTTGGAAGAGTTATAACTTCGTAGAAAGCGGTTTTCAATGTCGAAAAAAATATTACTATACTAAACGTTAGATGTTTCGTAGCTAGAGGTTTCACTCACACACTTGGTCAACTTGGAAAGGAGCCAGGAGGAATTTTACCCGCTGATGCTTCTTGCCGTTCCTTGTGCTTGGCCTTCTGAAACTGTTCTTCACATTTTGAGAGATTGTCGTGAAGGTGTTGGGGATATTAGTCAAAGATGTGATTTATAAAAGATGATTTAAAAATTTGATCTCCTTAACATCACTTTTATATTAATGTGCGACTCTTTTGCGTTTTTAGTTATGCAGGCATATGATGTAACGGTAGGTTGAGAAAATTAAATGTGATTAAAAGAAGATTGCAGATTTGTAGCAGGTTGTTAAGTCATATCTCTTTTACGTTTTTGGGAGAAACGTTATCACAATCGAGCAGGTAAAACAGTTCAAGGTAAAGAAGAGAGGGACTAACTAAAAGTTATAGGGGCCCTTAAAATCTGGTGTGTTGAACTTTGCCTTAATAATTTCATCAAATGGTAGTAGGTTATCCGATTTAACATCCTAACCGCTCCCCAATTATTTTTGGGCCCTATAACGTTAGGCTTTAGCTTTAAGTTTTCATCAATCCTACCTGCCCAATCTCACACTGTAATTTGGACTTGTGCTCTGTATTATTGAACAATTAATTATTAGAATTATTTCTGTTTTTCTGGTTTTGCATGCGCTTGCTAAAACATATGAAATAACAAAACATGAACTGTCCGAGTAACAATGCGTTATTTAATACCTAAAATCTCAAGTATTTTGGAATTATAGAATCTAGATCACGAGGTCGTTAAGAGCTGCTCATGCTCAACTTTCTGGATATTCAATACCAACTACCATCCAAATTTTCTACAAATTGAGCGAGGCCCCCATTATTTACCTACCACATTAAATTTTATTTATTTTCACTTCCCATTTTATCAGTTTATATCATCGTCTCCTCGTATAAATGTAGTACCACATAAGAAAACGCCTCAGGCACATTTAGCTAATCTAAGCTAGCTATGGACTGGTTCTCATGGCTGTCAAAAACCGGCCTTGAACCCTCCCTCATCTACGAATACGGCCTCGACTTTTCGCACAACCAGCTGCAGCTCGACGACGTGAGATACTTAGACCACGAGTTTCTTCAGAGCATGGGAATATCTGTGGCCAAGCACAGGCTAGAAATACTCAAGCTTGCCAAGAAAGAAACCAGATTTGGGCACCTGAAATCGC